TTTTTTTTTTTTTTTTTTTTTTTTGGGGGGGGGTTTTGTAAAGCTCGCGGCAAGTTGCACTAGTTTTCCAAAACCAATTAAATAAAGTCAACAAGGTGTATTTTTGTCTTTTGCCACAGCTATTTCTCGGTCAAAATACTCATGAAAATAATTATTGCACTTGCCAAGGTATGGAGGTGGGGAATATAAGAGTATTTTGCTTTTAAGTTTTTAATGAGAAGGTTTTGGCCACTATTTCTTGGTTACTTCTTAATTTAATTTATAGAAAATGGTTATCCTTATGCCAATCTTATTAGCCAATTACCTAGTAACACAAGTTATCACTCTCGATCCTTTACGAGTTTATGATATGGCACCAACACCAAGTTGAGATTTCGAACAAGCCAACCACATCTCCCATCCCTTAAATATTCCTACTCTTTTCACTTTAAAAAAATACTTACCTTGTCAAGTCAAGTACTCTTAATGACTAAGGAATAGTTAATCCATAAACCAAACATGCCCTATGATTTATGGACCAATCAAATGAAACGATCGAAGGACTAGACTAAGTAGATATACAGCTCATGTGCATATATGCATATATTGATGGGTCAATTGTTTGTGTTATATGTTATTGCAGGTAAGATAATAGATGGTAGTAACGCTGATGTTGCTGAGGATCAATACCACCGTTATCCTGTAAGTCTACACCTCTAATATATGCTTGTCATCAATAATGCTAAACTTACTGCCAATTCTTGCAATCCCATGTGGTCGTTCACTTGACACTACTACATTTTACATCTACAGTAACAAATTCAGGCTATGAGAAATTAAATTTAACTAGATTTGCCCCTGTTTGCCCCTAATTAGTTGGTGAATCAAGTTTTTTTTTTTTTTTTCTCTTTTTGGTCGAAAATAGGAAGATATACAGCTTATGAAGGACATGGGAATGGATGCCTATAGGTTTTCCATTGCTTGGTCTCGGATATTCCCTAGTAAGTTTTAAGCTTGATGTATACAGTATAAGACAGTTTCCAGTTACTTAGCATTTGTTATAAAGATTAATTAAAAAATTTAAATTTGGCTTAGTCAGTTTCCATGCATGAAATGAAAAGGGTCTAATATTGTGTCTTGAAATAGATGGAACCGGGCTGATTAATCAAGCAGGAGTTGATCACTACAATAATCTCATCAATGGTCTACTTGCTAATGGTATAAGTTATGCTCATTCTTCTTCATGTTTCAATTGTCAATGGAAAGTAAACAAATTCATTATAGTGCTCATGATATACACTGTATATAAATGTTATGCATGCAGGAATAGAACCATATGTGACCCTTTACCATTGGGATCTTCCTCAAGCCTTGGAAGACAAATACACTGGATGGCTTGATCCGCAGATTGTGTAAATAATTTTCAAAGAGTTCAAAAATATATTCATATATATATTTTTTAGTCTTAATGTATATGATTCAAGTGACAAATGTATGTGACCTTGGTTATTTTGTAGAAACGACTTTGCTGTATATGCTGAGACATGCTTTCAGATGTTTGGTGATAGGGTGAAGCACTGGATCACATTCAATGAGCCTCATACAATTGCCATACAAGGCTATGATGTAGGTCTTCAGGCACCTGGACGCTGCACCATCCTGCTTCATCTCTTCTGCAAGGCTGGAAACTCTACCACTGAGCCTTACATAGTAGCACACAACATTCTTCGCTCCCATGCAACTGTGGTAGATATTTACAAGAACAAATACAAGGTAAACATTATAGGGTGTCATTTTGAAGCCTAAACTAAGTTGAGATTATAGATAAAGAATGAAACTAAGTTGATATCAAGATTAAAACAATGATATCAAAATTAAAACAAGCACTAAAACTAACATTTACTAATGATATTGTAGGCAAAACAACAAGGATCAATTGGGATATCACTTGATGTTATTTGGTATGAACCAGAAAATAACTCTACAGTAGATATTGAAGCAGCTCAACGAGCTCAAGATTTTCAGCTTGGCTGGTAATTAAAACTTCTATCACTTACTTTGCTCAATCTAAACATGGATTTGGAGTATTAGCAGCAATAAATATTATTCACAGTTGGCAAGCATTACATTATACTTTTGGATAAATTAACTCCATTTGGTAAATAGAAGTTCAAACTGAGGCCTAACAATGTTTTATGGAGTCATGCCATACTTAGTAGATGTGATTTTGGTACTCTTGCAGGTTTATCGAGCCTCTAATCTTTGGAGATTATCCAAGCACAATGAGAAGCAGAGTTGGAAGTCGACTGCCAAAATTTACTAAATCTGAGGCTACTCTTGTCAAAGGCTCATTCGATTTTATTGGGATTAATCATTACACTACATTCTATGCAAGAAACAATGCAACTAATATAATTGGTGTTCTACTTAATGATTCCCTTTCAGACTCTGGCACCACTACTCTACGTAAGTAACGGTTGTATCTAAGGTTTTGTTGCATTCTTTTGCACACAGCATTACTCTTTTCTTGTGAATGTAGCCACTAATTATCCTAGATATTTTTTCAATGTAGCTTTCAAAAATGGACTCCAGCCTATAGGAGACAGGGTATGGAATCCAAACTTTTATCTATGTTTAGAACCAACTAATAATGACAGATCTTTCGCATCTTCCTTGTGCTTACTAATGGACTAAATTGTCAATTTGCTTATTGGAGATATGAATACCACACGAAATAATTAAAAATTATGGATGATGTATCTAGTTGGTGAGATAATTAATCCCTATTGATTCGTTCCCTGATTAAACTATTTTGACTTCTGTCATATTGTAGGCTAATTCCATATGGTTGTACATAGTACCCCAAGGTATGAGAAGTTTAATGAACTACATCAGGCAAAAGTATGGCAACCCTACAATCATTATCACTGAAAATGGTAAGCTTTCAAAATCTAAGCAATTCAAAATCAATTCACTAACTGATGCCTTTGCTTCTCCAAACTGTCTATTTGGAGTATTATTTTCATGAGATATGCAATGTTTGTTTGATTGGCTAAGATAAGTACACTAAATTGTCATCTTCCATTGTTATGACAGGGATGGATGACCCAAATAACCCATTAATATCGATTGCAGATGCTCTGAAAGATGAGAAGAGAATCAAATTCCATCATGATTACCTATCCAACCTTCTTGTTGCCATCAAGTATGATATCAATAGTGTTGTACATATCATTGTTTATGATATAATTGCATATATATATATATAGGTGTGAAACCTAACATGGTTTTATTATGGGTGATACAGAGAAGATGGTTGCAATGTTAAAGGGTATTTTGTGTGGTCTCTATTGGATAACTGGGAGTGGAGTGCTGGCTACACTTCAAGATTTGGTCTCTACTTTGTTGACTATAAGAACAAGCTCAAGAGATACCCCAAGGATTCTGTGAAATGGTTCAAGAACTTCCTTAGTGCTTCCGCTAATTGAATCGGATAGAATAATCAAATTTGCATTTCCAAAGCACACATAAAACATTTTCATTTGTGTTCAAATAAGACAAGTTGTTAAGTGAAAATTAAAATTAACATTCTTGGTGTGATTACTTTTAGTGGCGTTTATTATATTATAACTGTTTTATTTATCTCAACTAGTGTCATTGTACATTATAGTTGTAACCATTTATTAATTTGTACCATTGTGATTCTTCAGAAATATTATACTTTTATGAGGGGCATCAAACCCATCGACAAAAGTTGAGGGATATATGATGCACCTTTCATTTATTTGGAAGGGCCAAGTGCCCCCTTTATAATTGACTTCCTATGCTTGTTTTGGGACCAATATATATATATATATATATATATCTCGGCATAGTACCTATCCACCTTATTTCCTAAAAATTATGAGTGAAATCATCTTAAAATTATGTCATTTCAATAAATCCCCATTGAAAAAGATTAAAATACCCTATTTTTAAACCATGAATTGGAGTGTTTTTTGTTTTTCCCTGTAAAATATTATTAACATTATGTAGTTTTAGAATAATTTTCCTCCTAATCTTAAGACAGATAAACACTAATCCCTATATATATATTGGTATTATGTTTCAATGGATTTTCATGGCAGGATTGAAATGTTACAGTGATATGTGTTGGGATTGGTTATTTATGCTACGGGGATGGGACAAGAGTTAGGATTTATTTAGTAGGTGTCGCTCCTGGCTGGCAAAGACACCCGTACTTTGTCCATTACTTTTTATTGATATTGAGGTTTTTTACTCCTTACCTTATAAAGCATGGATATTTACCCTCTAACTTTTTAATTTGAGCAAATAAGACAAAATTTATTTATTTTTGGATGCTCATGGACGTTAAGCCTCCATTTTGTAATAACACATCAGTGTCACTTGAACACTAATATTAAACTTTGGCATTGCCTGCGAGGCCACTTGGCATCAATCTGTGGCTTCCACTTCAAGTTGTATCCTTTGAATAGAAAAAATTTGAAAATAAAACAACTGCTCAAAGCGTGTAATTAATTATGAAATCACTTTTCCTATCAAAAAAAATATATATATATATAAAATCCTCTATAGCCTCCAGTGACTTCTTTCTACTCTCACCATAAGCATTGCTCAACCCTTGCTCTTCAGATCCTTCTAGTTGTTTTGGATTATTTCTTCCGCTGACCTCTTCTTTCTCTTTATGGGACTGTTTGGATTAGTGGTTCAAATTCAATAATTAGTTGGTAATTGATAATCAATAATTAATAGTTTATCCCGAAGCCACTTTTATCCAAAGTCACTTCTATTCTCTATTGTTATAATATTAAGGAATAAAAATATGTAAATAATCTGGTAAAGTAAACAATTGGGTGTGAACTTCCTTCCCTAACCAAGCATGCCCTATATATATACTTATTTTTTAATAGAAAAGTGAAGTGAAGTGAAGTCCTATTAGGTAAATTGCATTTTACGTAGTCATTGATAGAGAGAGCAAGTGCCTTAATATTGGGGTCCATCCCTCCATTAATGATTAATTGTTTGGAGTACAAAATAACATTTTGTATTCTTTAATATATCTAAAATACAAACAGAAAATTAATAATAGGTTTGCTTTTAGGAAAATGGAGAGGAGAGAGATAATATTTTTAACCAATCAAATTATAATATTGATGATTGATAAAATAATCTACCACTCTCATCTGGTTCGGTGTACCAAACATATGCACTAAAGGAGTAGTATTAATAAATTGTGCATATAATTCAGAAATTGCTTGGATTAGAAGACATAGGGCCGTCAACACCACCGCAAGGAGACCCCCAATGAGGCCCAACATGTACTCGTGAACCAATTAAGCCTTTAGCCCATGGCAGAAAAACTTGTACCACGGTATGACAAAGAACACCCATGAATATAATGCTCTTTCTCATGGTAGTTCAAGAGAGTAAAGCCTCTTTTTTTTTTTTTTTTTTTTTTTTTGGTGTTTAGAACATAAACAGCGGATTGTTCATTTTTAAAAAATAAAATAAGGCTTCAATTTTTACTCGTTGGAGCATTTTTTACAAAAGAATTGGGTTGATTACGCAAAGACTACTTTCCTTATTTCTTGTGCAAAATTGGACATACAAATATTGCCCCTATGTCAGGTGCAACCAGTGAAATCAGGGGCTTTCAACAGCGGTTGATCCAACAGATGACATATTTTTTTAATTTAACGTTCTACTTTGAATATGTAAAATATGAATTAAATAAAACAATATTTATGCAATTTTTAAAGAAGTTTTTTTTTTTTTAAAGTATATGCATTAGAAAGTAAGTGTTTGATTAAGAGTTATATTTGGAAATTAATACATAAAAATGTAGATTTATATAAAATAATATTAGTTATAATAATGTCACAACCAAGTGAATATTTTAGTTGTTTTTTATTGTATATGTTCTTACACGATCATGGTGTTCCAAGTTTAGTTTATTTGTATTTTAAAATTAATTTTTCTCATGGCAATCTTAAGTGTGCACCCTAAGATTTAAATTTTTATATTTAATCTACCAAACTAAATTTTGTATATGATTTACAAAACAACATTTATTTAATTTAATCATAATGACATCTTGGTTTTCTTATTTAAACCCAAGAATGGTATTAACATTTTTTAAGTTTAGTTAAAAAATTGATATTGAGAAAGTTGAAGGGAAAGTTGTGAAGTGAATTTTACATATGAAAAATTGAGGAAACTTTTTCTCTTTAAAAGTATAAAAATAAAAAATTATATTATGAGAAATTGTTTATGGAAAATAAAAAATAAAAAAGTCACTTTTATCTTTTATTTGTTATAAATTTGAATTGTTTAAATCCTAAAATAGTCCTACAATTTTTTGAATAGGGAGGAAATGAAGGAAACTAACCAAACACGACCTATGCACATTTGGTGTTCACCCAAGAAAAAAAAAATTACTATTAACTTACAGGGAAAAGAAAACAAAAAAATCTAACCTTTTAACTATAAAATATTTAATTAAAACCTTTCTTTGGAAGAAATTGAATATTACTATTAAATTTTAAATTTTAAAATAATTATAGTAATTAGTGTGCAATCATGATGGTTAGGGGACAATGAAAACGTCTAAGAATGTGAATAATGTTACGCTTCTTGTTTGGAGGTGTTATAACTCAAATTTTAATAGAAATTTATTTTTATTTTTATTTTTATATTTAACTAATATGTTTACCTTTGTTTTTCTTATTAGGTTTATGGGTAAAAAAGGAATTTCACGAAGAGGATCGAAAAGAAAATGAGAAAAAAAACTCAATTGAAGAAATCAAAAGTTGAAAGCAAGAAATTCATCACGATTAATTTGCAAACCCAACACCAACCCATTTCAATTGAATCCACTAAATTATCCAAACCCAAAACCCAAAACCCTAAAGCCCACCTACTCGAAACCCAAAACCAAAAAACAAAAAAAAAAAGAAAAAGAAAAAGAAAGAAAATAAATGTCAAACCTTCTTCTTCCTCACCCCATTTTCGGCCTCCCTCTCTCTCCCGGACCCTCCTTCTCTTCAAATAAGCCGGCGGCCACCCCTCAAACTGCCGGCGATAGAGCTTCTCTGTACCCCAAAACCTCTTCCTCCTTCCTCGCCGACCCTTGGCTTCTCTCTCCTCCTTAGGTTTCGTTTTCTTGCTCACGCCAGTCATCGGCCTCCCCATTCCCGCTACATGGCTTTTTCTTCTTCAACATGCCGGCAGCTATATTCCCTTCTCCGATCACCATCGTCACCATCAAAGCTTTTCATCTCACCATTCCTTTTCTTTCTCACTTTTTCTGCTCCGTGAAGACTCTTCGTTGTCGCAAATTCGCCAGCCACTTCCTTGATTTCAGCTTCCATTTTGTTCTAGATTTATGGTCACCTAAAGGAATCAAGGGCGAGTGAATCTCAAAAGCAACAAAGATGCGCCCAGATCTGCAGATCGATGATGGTGGTGATGTTTTACGCGCAATGGCGGCGACTATCGGAGAACAACAGCTCAACAGTTTGTACTTGAATTGGCCGGAAAATTCATGTGCAATCGAAAAGTCAGTCCACGTGCTTGAAAAGAGACGAGGCTACCTCTCTTGCAGATCAGCCCAAAACTCTTATCATCGGGCCTTCCGCAACAGATGTGAATTGGATTGGGTAAAATTCGGATTGGGTAAGGCTTAGGTCCATTTTTGGTTTAGAGTTAGGGCTTGGTGCTGAGTAGACAGATAGGGTTTTTCTGAGGAGTATAAATAGGGATTTTAGGAGCACAAAGGGGGGAGAGGTCTTTGTTTTGTTTTGTGTATTGAGAACGGCGGCAGAAAAGAGAGGAGTTCTGCTAGAGGGAGCCGGTGATTTGGGAGAAGATTTGGGTCTACCTTTGTAGGTAATTTTCTGAACAGAGGAGTTTTCTGGGAACGGTGGTGAAGGGGACGATGGAAGCCTGGTCTCGTGGGTGGGATCCCTCCCATTAGATCCGGATCTACTTTTCCTAAAAAAACTCTGCCGTGGGTGTGTTGCTTTGTTGTTGATTTCTTTTTTTCTTTTTTTTTTTTTCTGTATTTTTCATTGAATGTTCAAGGTTGTATGTGTTTCTTGAGAAATGAATGAAAGATCATAGATTTCCCTGTTTATTTGCCTGATGAATCTGTTCATCTTTGGCTGGAAATGAGATGTATTCATGATGAACTACATTGTTTGCTTCCATGTTTGATCTTCTTTTTGATTATTTTATGTTCGGGTTGATCAGACCCGATCCAGTAAAAAAAATACATAATATAAATAAAATGAAT